CCTGAAACAATAAACCTTAAACCCTAAACCCTAAACCCTGAAACCATAAACCCAGGTCCGCCAGCGAGCCGGGCGTGTGGAGGGATTGCATCAGCCGGGCCTTAGGGTCACTACACCCCGAAGCTTCAGGGACACAAAGGCGCTAAATCTCGCCACGATCTAGGGTTTAGGGTTTAGGGTTTAGCGTTTAGGGTTCAGGATTCAGGGTTGCGGGTTTAGGGCCAAGTTTAGGGGGTTCGGGGGTTCCAGGGGGGGTTATGTAACCCAAGGCTCCCTAATGCTCCCCACTACTCTCTAAGGCTCCCTCAGCTTCCCTAAGGTTCCCTAAGCACCGATATACCCCCCATGAACCCCCCATACCCTGAAGGACCCGGTTTAGGGTTTGGGGCTGTAGGGTTTAGGGTTTAGGGTTTAGGGTTCATCTTCAAAACCATGTAAGGCTTTGGGCTATTGGGCTAGCCACAGATGCAGATGGCTTAGCTAGAAGCGGCTTTTCGTGTAATCGGCCGAGAGGTGAAGAACTCTGAGGGCATCTGATCTCTGAAACGAGCGAGAGGTTAAGATTCACCAAAAACAACTTAAACCTTAAAGCTCAACTAAGCCGTAAACCCCTAAACGCCTAAACATGAGGTGGACCTACACCCCAAAGAACCCAAACTAAACCCTAAACCCAGAAAAAAACAATGTATGGTGGGACTAGGATAGCTTTGTAGCCGTCGCCTGGGGAGACGCGTGCTACAGGTGCAGTGGGCCTGTCAGGGTGAGGCTTGTAGGGTTTAGGGTTTAGGGTTTAGAGTTCCAGGTGAACTTGACACAACCTTGCAACCCACAAAATACGAGGTAGCCTAAAGGGTGTAGGGTCTTTAGGAACTAAGGTTTAGGGTTTAGGCTTTCGGGTTTAAAGGGTTTCGGGCTTCGGTTTTCGGGTTTCGAATCCAGGAACCCAGGGAGAAAGCTTCGGGGTTTCGGGGTTTAGGGGTTTAGGGGTTTAGGGTTTAGGGTTTAGGGTTTAGGGGGTCCTCTTTGCCGCACTTTGTGTCCAGAATTCCAAGCGGACCCGCTTTTGCGGATCAAGCCATCTTCACTTGTGACAGGTGGTTGGACCCCACAGTTCAGTGCCCCTGTACAAGTATCGAATCCTTCCGCCTGAAACCCGACTTGAAGGTTTATGGAAGGGGAAAATTGTGTTTAAAAGCAGGTTGTCATCGCCGTGATCAACTAATCTGGGGAAATCCCTACCTTAAACTACACATGCACCTTCAACTACACCTTTAAAACCCTGCATTAAACACGCAACCCTCCATGGCCAAGGGATTCTATCTTGGACCTCTCAGTTCTCAACTTTACTTTCGAAGCTCTTTGCCCGAACTCCAAACAAACGCTTGGAAGGTCCCTAAGCCGCAATCTTAAACCCAGAAACCCCTAAAACCCACAAACTCCTAAACAGTAAAACCCTAAACTCTCAAACTCCTAAGACCTAAACTCTCACCCCTAAACTCTGAACTCTGACCCCTAAACCCTAAACCCTAAACCCTAAACCCTAAACCCTAAACCCTGCACCCAAACCCGAAACCCTAACACCCTGCATCCGGGGCGTGCATTCTTTGGTGGGGTCAGGGCCCGTCCACGGCAGCGCTCGAGTCCAAGGGCGAGCTTTGATGTACAGGACCCTATTCGGGTGTTTAGGGTTTAGGGTCCTTGTTGGTTTGGGGTTTAGGGTTTAGGGTTTAGGGTTTAGGGTTTAGGGTCTAGGGTCTAGGGTCTAGGGTCTAGGGTCTAGGGTCTAGGGTCTAGGGTCTAGGGTCTAGGGTCTAGGGTCTAGGGTCTAGGTTCTAGGGTCTAGGGTCTAGGGTCTAGGGTCTAGGGTCTAGGGTCTAGGGTTAGGGTAGGGTTAGGGTTTAGGGTTTAGGGTTTAGGGTCTTCCGCTCAGAGGTCACTGGCTGGGGCTGCTGGAGTTCTGGTTCGCGGCGATGTGTCGAGCTTGCCGCAGCTCCGGCCTTTAGGGTTTCAGGGTTTAGGGGGTTTAGGGTTTAGGGTTTAGGGTTTAGGGTTTAGGGTTTAGGGGGTTTAGGGGGTTTAGGGGGTTTAGGGGGTTTAGGGGGTTTAGGGGGTTTAGGGGGTTTAGGGGGTTTAGGGGGTTTAGGGTTTAGGGCTTTCAGGGTGTTTTTTGGGTAGATTAGGGCCAGTGATCTAGGGTTTAGGGTTACGGGCTTAGAGTGCCGGAATGAACCACAGGGGATTTTTGAAGGGCTCACGGAGCGGCAGTTGCCACAATGAAACCAAGAATGTTCAAACACGCTTGCATTAAGCGCTTGCTCACTGGCTGTAGTAAGCCCTAGTATCTCTAAGCCCTAAACCCTAAACCCTAAACCCTAAACCCTAAACCCTAAACCCTAAATCCTAAACCCTACACCCTAAACCCTGAACCCTACACCCTAAGCCCCAAATCCCTAAGCCTAGAGAACGAAGCAGAAGATGAACATGCCTTAAAGAGGAATGCGACAGGTCTTGGGCTCTTGTGACTCTGGGGGCCCTTCTTGGGTTTCGGGCTTCTGTACTACATGCGTTTTGTATAGTTTAGGGTTTAGGGTTTAGGGTTTATGGTTTAGGGTTTAGGGTTTAGGGTCTAGGGTCTAGGGTTTTTTCCTAGCATAGGGTTTAGGGTTGATAGGTGTTCATAGGGTGAAGGGTTTCGGGGGTTTGGGATTTATGTTTGGGGCATTGGGTTTCGGATGTGGGGGAGCGCTCAAGACTGCTAAAGCTGCTCAGGGAGGGCCTTAAGGGGAACTCTTGGTCGCAGAGCTCAAGGACTAACCGAAACCCTGAACCCTAAACCCCAAACCCTATGCCTATGCTCTATACGCCTATATCCTATACCCTATACCCTATACCCTGAACCTACCATTGCTCAACGACATCGGATGCACAAGGCAAAGAATTACCAGGCGGGGGCTGCGAGTCATTTCTACTCGCTTCCTGGTGCCTAGTAGGAAATTAGAGCACTAGGTACCCTATGTTTTCTGTAATCCGCTTCTTTTGGGCAACCCTAACCCTAAACCCTAAACCCTAAACCATAAACCCTAAACCCTAAACCGTAAACCCTAAACCCCAAACCCCTACGCCCTAAGCCTTAACCGGGGAATAATGCAGCTAAACTTCCTGACTTGCTACGTGGAATGAATATCAGCTTCTGCTGCGAGCATCTTCGTTCAGCCCAAAACCCTTAACCCTTAACCCCTGAACCCCACACCTGTAAACCCCTGGTGAGCGTTTAGAGGTGTGGTGGTTTAGGGTTTAGGGTTTACGGTCTCTGGTAGGGGCTTCCGGACCCAGCTGAAGCCTCAGGCCTAAAACCCCCAAAACACACAAAACCCCAAAAGCCTTCAAAACTTAAAGCCCTGATTCTTTTGTGCGAGCTCTGCAAGGGTCTCTCTCTTAACAAGCCGTGTGGCTGTTTAAAGAACTCCAAACACCCTAAAAGCCCTGAAAACCTTTGAACCTTGAAAACCTTGAACACCCAAAAGCCCTGATTCTTGCGTGAGACTTAGCAAGCCGTGTGGCTGTTCATAGCCCTCTCCTCAGCCCTACTTAAGAAGTCTAAAAACCCCGAAACACCTTCAAAACCTTAAAAACCCTAAATCACCTACAACCAAAAAAACCTGTTAATACCTTTAAAATCTCTAAAATCTTTAAAACCCTAAAAACCCTTTTAAAAAATTCTGAAAACGTTTAAAGCCTTTAAGCAAGCCGAGTGGCTGCTCATAGCTCTCTCCCGCATCTTCCGCAGCCGCTGCGATCATATCCTGGGTGCGGGCAATGCTTCGGAGCATCGGGAACTTAGGGTTTAGGGTTTAGGGTGTAGGGTCTAGGGTTTCAACCGAGCTATGCTTAAGTCAGGCTTCCTTCTAAAGAAGCAAGGGAAGAAAACAGCAACAAACCCTAAACCCTGGGATGTTCCCCCCTATACTAACCGTCCTTAGTAGGGATTATAGCACCCCCTATTATAATTCCATTAACAGTCCTTAATAGGGAATATAGCACCCCCTACTATAACCCCCATTAAGGACTGTTAGTATAAGGGGGAACATCCCTATCTAAACCCTAGATACAGGAGCCCCGAGGCCGATCTGCTACAAAGGCCCACCCTCCTGCGATTTGAGGTTTCGGGCAAAGGTCTTGGGTTAGGGTTTAGGATTTAGGGTTTTGGGGTTTGCGTTTAGGGTTTAGGGTTTAGCGTTTAGGGTTTTGGGTTTAAGGGTTTAGGGTTTAGCAAGGTCCCCTCCCTCCCCCCCCCCATCTCGATAAATCCTACGAGGCGAAGAAGGTCTGTATCCTCATAAAGTGTTCCCCCTAAACACGAAAAATAGAAACAGGCCTGCAAGTCTAAATTTTGTACGTACACATCTATTGACTCGAGATAGGTATTCTTTCAGCTTACTCATCCAGCTGATGTATTTATGAAATGGCTTTACGTAAGTACTTGTTTAGTGTTTTGTATATACATGCAGCAGCGTTCCACAGCAATGCTATGCGGGGATAATCATGAAGGAAAACTACTGCCGGACGCCGGCATCAACCAAGACACCTTGTCTTTGTACATGATCTCAACGAAGGGAAGCGCCTTGCAGGTTACCCTAACCCTAAGACCTAAAAATTACAACCCTGTGATGACTGTAGGTTGAGAAACTGCCGAAGTCCACTCTCACCTTTTGTGGCTCTGTCTGAGGGTTAAAGGTACCTTTAAACCATACACCCTATGGTGGCAGCCGAAAAGTTGGAAGATGTCCATCCAAATTCTCCGCTCTTTCGACAATGGGTCGCACACTCCCTAAACCCTAAAACCTAGCTAGACTCTAGACCCTAAACCCTCAACCCTCAACCCTAAACCCTCAACCCCAGGGCTTAGGGCTATGGTTTGAAGGCTAGTGGGGATCGCAGCCATCGATGCAGATTTTGGGGGCGCGGGGTAGACAAGTCGGATGAATGTGGCGGAAAGGGCCCTAAAATTCTTGGCTTGGGGGTTTCGTGCGTTTCGCGTGTGACTGGTAGACTGTGTACTCCCTCGCCTGCCACCGGTAGTGCTTCTCAAAGAACCAGTACGATCGGCCGAGGTAGGCCAGGCACGTGACGGAAACTGCCTGAGGAGAAAGCTGTAGGAAGTTTTTGGGCTTCAGGTTCTTTAGACAGGTGCTTAAAGGGGCTTAGGGCTTACCGTCTAGGGGTTAGGGTATCTGGAAGGGCGTCATTAAGGGGTCTAGGGTTCAGGGGAAGTGCTGGCTTCAAGGAGATGGGGATACTCATCCCCCCTGTTCACGATGCGCACCCTACGTTGCTGCGCCGTTACACACAGGCTCTCATTAGGACTTTTCTTTAACGCTGTTCGGACCCAAAGACCATACCATTCAAAGTTCCCGGGATATTTCAAGCCGCTAAAGGCTACGTATGAATTCCGCAACAGTTTCAACAGCAACTTCGGCTGCATGCTTTGAAAGTCTTTACCCTGGACTAAGGAATGCCCAGAAGAGAGGGATCCAACGACTTGAGCCCTAAATGAGCTCCAAACCTTACAACTTACATGTCAAGTGGTGGCTTGGTCATTCGAGCATGGCTTTGTGCTTGTGCGGGCGTAGTAGGGTTCATAGGCTACTGGGAATGCCCGAGTACCTAAAAAAACCCTAGACCCCTTTTGTTACCCAACAACCCCATGCTTCAGCATGCTTGAGGCGCTCTCAGGGCTGTTAGGTGCATGTGCCCCCTCCGAACCGCAAGCCGCAGCGAACCGCGTGAACCGGAACCGTTCCAGAGTATGTTCCCGGAAACCGAAACGAACCTACACGAACCGTGGCCTTACTGGGTTTAGGGTTTGGGTTTAGGGTTTGTAAGTCCAGGCGTTGGCGTGTTTTAGGGCCATTTAGTGTTTGTCGTTTAGGTCTGAGGTTTAGGTGCTCTCTATATCAATAGCTGACGGCAAAACTCGTGGTTACAAACACTGGAAAACTCACAGGGCAAGGTGCTCCCGGAATATAGTTCGGCGAGCGATCGAGCAGGACGCCAGTCATCAGGAGTGTGTACAAGATGGTTCCTTGCAGCACATGGTTCCTTGGTCTGCGATGAAGGTCTGGAGTTTAGGGTTTCGCCCGTAAACCAAATCTGAACCCTGAACCCTGAACCCCGAACCCTGAACCCTAAACCCTAAACCCTAAACGCCATCACCTGCTTCGCCACCCTCGTCTGCGAGAAGCCCCACAAAACTTCGAACCCGACCCCTGGGTGCCTGGGTCTGAACAGCTCTACACCGTTTAGGGATTAGGGCTTGGGGTTGAGGGTCGAGAGTTTGGAGTTTAGGGTTTAGGGTTTAAGGTTTAGGGTTTAGGGTTTAGGGTTTGAGACAACAAAACCATACTTCAAGGCTCGCGGGTATACGTAGGCAGCAGAGGGAAGCTCCTCCATGATAACGAAACATGGTGTACATGCAGTTCGAAATTTTGAAACCTAAACCCTAAACCCTAGACCCTAGACCCTAAACCCTAAACCCTAGACCCTAGACCCTAAACCCTGAACCCTAAACCCTAAACCCTAAACCCTAAACCCTAAACCCTAAACCCTAAACCCTAAACCCTAAACCCTAAACCCTAAACCCAACCAAGCCATAAACTCTACTGGTCGTAAGGGTGCTCTTTTTGGGGTTGATGTAGCTTAAGCCAACAAAAAGGGGCAAAAGCTACCACTGGGCTACCCCTAAACCCTAAAACCTAAACCTTAAACCTTACACCCTAGACCCTAAACCTTTCTTGAAGTAGTTGGGACGAGGGGCAGGTTCTTGACCCAGAAGTTCCCGCCCAAGTCTGGCTTCCTCGCACGGATTCAGGGAAAAGGGTTTAGGAGTTTCGGGCTTAGGGCTTCGGGTTTAGGAGCTTAGGAGTTTAGGGTTTAGGGTTTAGGGGTTTAGGGTTTCGGGTTTAGGGTTTATCGCTGAGGCCTTGCATCTTGAATCCCATAGCCACTCCTAAATCCTGGAGACCTTAAATCCGAGGCCCTAGAGACTTCTCAAAGCAGCAAGCCAGCATGCCTGAACCCTAAACCCTAAACCCTTTACCCTGAACACCTCAGCGCAGGTCGCAGTTCCAGCTTATTCAACAATGTACTTGGGCAGTAAAGCTATTCTACAGGAATCTCTTCAAGGCCCAAGTATAAGGTCTGAGGGTTTAGGGTTTAGGGCACATACAAAGCCTTCAGCTGCTGTTCAGGGTCGTAGGGATGGGGAGCGGAGCCTTGACCCGAAAACCCCCAAACCCCAAACCCTAAACCCTAAACCCTAAGCCCTTGAACCCCGAATCTGGTCTACCTTCTTTTAAAGGGCTCTGAAGTATGGGCCCAAGGTATGTAACGGGTCGCCAATTAAGGACCCAGACCTACTATTTGCTTAAGAACCCCAAAAGAATAACACATGATAATCACTAGATTAGCCTTGCGAGGAAGATTTTTGTTTGGAAGGGGGTTCTTAAGCAATTACTAGTAGATACTAAGCGACCGTGCAGCTGCCCTTAGGGATAAGGGGATGTGAATTTAAAACTCTGTGTGCTGAGAGCCCTGACCTAAGCCGACATCACGCATCGCAGACGATGTTTGAGTCTCCCAAGCGCCAACTCAAACCCCCAACCCCAGAACGATGCATCTTTTTGTCCCTGGGTCCTTGTTTCCGTGCAGATGATGAGATAGCCGTACACGACTCCTGGCACAAGAAGACCCGGAGTCCCAGCAGAGGATATGTTTAGCGCTGTTAGGGTTTAGGGTTTAGGGTTAGGGTTTAGGGTTTAGGGTTTAGGGTTTAGGGTTTAGGGTTTAGGGTTTAGGGTTTAGGGTTTTGGGTTTAGGGTTTAGGGTTTAGGGTTTAGGGTTCAGGACCCTAAGAAAAAGCTGTCCAAAGCGAGCCGGGGGCACGACAGATGACGAAGTTGACGAGGGACAGGATCCTTGGGTGCAAGCGCTTGGGGCTTAAGGGTTTGGGGTTTGGGATTTAGGGTTTAGGGTTTAGGGTTTAGGGCTTCGGGTTTAGGGTTTAGGGTTTAGGGTTTAGGGCTTAGGGTTTAGGATTTAGGGTTTGGGGCTTGGTGTTTAGGTTTTTTAGGGCTTGGGGTCCAGAAATAGGCTTTGGGGCTGGGCCCTATAGGCTTATGGTTTAGAAGCCTCAACAAACTCACAAGTGCCGCAAAAAGCAGCCGTGACTTCTACATCTAAGGTGTATAAAAAGATCCAGGCAGCGGGGTTTGCTTGAATGTGCCCAAACCCTAAACCCTAAATCCTAAATCCTAAACCCTAGCCCCTAAACCCTAAACCCTAAACCATAGACCCTAGACCCTAACCCTTGCAACAGATGAAGCTGACACATTTCTTTATTTCGCTAAACCCCAAACCCCAAACAAAGCCCTCCAGCCCCCTATATATTATACTGCACCTATGAAACCCTAAACCAAAAGAAAGAAAGCAGCCGTGATTCGGAATGAAAGGGTTGAGAGTGCCGAAGACCACCCCTGGCAAAACACTCAAGGGCTTCTATGCTTTAGGGCTTTTAGGGTTCAGGATTTAGGGTTTAGGGCTTAGGGTTTGGGGTTTAAGGTTGAGGGCTTAGGGCTTAGGGTTGCAAGGGCTTCTAGGGTTTCAGGCTTCTTCTGGGATTCTTTCGGAACTATCGTGGTGAAAGGTTTAGAAGATTTAGGCTCATGTAACGGCTTCCTCTGAACTCTTGGCCTTGGGAGACTCATCCGTGAACCCTAGACCCCAAAGCCCCAAAGACCCAAAGCCCCAAAGCCCTAAAGCCCTAAAGCCCCAAAGCCCTAAAGCCCTAAAGCCCTAAAGCCCTAAAGCCCTAAAGAGCCCCAAAGCCCTAAAGCCCTAAAGCCCTAAAGCCCTAAGACCCAACACCCTAAACCCAAAACCCAAAACCCTAAACCCAAAACCCTAAACTTCCAGAACAAGAAAACCCTGAGGTTTTGGGCTTCGGGGTCCAGACTGTGAATTTGAAGGCTCATCTTTAGCTGCATCAAGCAAATTCTTTTGTTGTGTTTAGGGTTTAGGGTTTAGGGTTTAGGGTTTAGGGTTTAGGGTTTAGGGTTTAGGGTTTAGGGTTTAGGGTTTAGGGTTTAGGGTTTAGGGTTTAGGGTTTAGGGTTGAGGATTTAGGGTTTAGGGCGTGCCTGACACAAACACACCAAGGCTCAACGCGCCGAGGGGGGGGGGGGGGGCATTCTACATAGAACACCGCCCTAAATCCTAAAGCCTAAGCCCTAACCCTAAATCCTAAAACCCTAAGCCATGCACCCTGACACCTTGACACCTACCAGCCGAAAAACGTAGAATCCGAAGCCCACAAAAACTCCTTGCGGCCTCCGGTCTCAGCCTCAAAGTATCGGATGCCGTACTGTATCCGCTCCTTTCTACCACCTGTAAGCCCTGAACCCTAAAACCTGAACCATAAACCCAAAACTTGAAAAAACATAAAATGCACCCTCCACCCTACACCCCAAACCCCCTAAACCCCCTAAACCCCCTAAACCCCCCTAAACCCCCTAAACCCCCTAAACCCCCTAAACCCCCTAAACCCCCTAAACCCCTAAACCCCCTAAACCCCCTAAACCCCCTAAACTCCCTAAACTCCCTAAACTCCTTAAACCCTGTCAACCCTAAACCCCTCACCCCTGGAAACACTTGGCTGGAAACCCTAAACCCTAGACCCTAGACCCTAGACCCTAAACCCTAAACCCTAAACCCTAAACCCTAAACCCTGGGCTGCCTATCAGCAGATTGATGGTCCACCGGGCGCTCCTCGAGCCGAAACCATAGTAGTCCTGCTTCTTGGGGTTTAGGGTTTAGGGTTTAGGGTTTAGGGTTTAGGGTTTAGGGTTTAGGGTTTAGGGTTGGTTTAGGGTTAGGGTTTAGGGTTTAGGGTTTAGCACTTAGGATTTAGGGGTTTGTTTCGGGTTTAGGGTTTAGGGTTCAAGGCTTGGGGGCCGGGGGCGTTTCAGATTCGGATGTCCCCCCTTATACTAACAGTCCTTAATCGGGATCATGATAGGGGGCAACTATAGTCCCGATTAAGGACTGTTAGTGTAAGGGGGGGGCATCCCAAGTGTCAGGGTTCAGGGTTTCGGGTTTAGGCTTTCGGCCTTGGGGTTTGGGGTTTGGGGCTCAGGGCTCCAAGTCTGGGACACGACGATGGGCTTCGAATGCTCGGGTATGTAGAATATACCCTCTCCCGCTCTACTTATGTGTATGTACATATGAAAATTATATACATATATACACTATATATATATATATATGTATATGTTTTTACTTATTTTTTATTTATGTATTTTGTATTTATTTATCTAGCTTTACAGAACTTATACAACACTGTAGAGGATTGAGCCTTGGGGGGTGCGGCGCTGATTTCGGGACAGCCTTGTTAGGAGCGAGTCCCCGGCTGAACCTACAACCCTAAAGCCTCTAAGGCCGCACCCTGTTTAGGGTTTAGGGTTTAGGGTCTAGGGTTTAGGATCACCCTAAACACGCTAAAGCCCAAAACTCCGAAACCCACCATCCGAGAACAGATAAGACCCATAAGTACGCTTGCCTCAGAAACCGCTCGAAACAGAGTCAAGAAACCCCTTCAAAATCCGTTTGCCACCCTGACAGGCCTTCAAGGGACAAACAAGAAAGGAACAAGAAACAAAACTGAAGCCTCTAGCCCCCCCCCCCACCCGCAACAAAGGCAACCTTAACGAAACGCCCAACCTCCCTCCCCCAAAAGAATAATGAGCACAAAAAAACCTAAACCCTAAACCCGAAACCCCCTACCCCCTAAACCCTAAACCCTAAACCCTAAACCCTAAAGAATCATGAACATAAAAATGGCCTGATCTTCAGGCTCAGCTCTTTTCTTCGCCTGCCGGCTCGGGTTTAGGGTTTAGGGTTTAGGGTTTAGGGTTTAGGGTTTAGGGTTTAGGGTTTAGGGTTTAGGGTTTAGGGTTTAGGGTTTAGGGTTTAGGGTTTAGGGTTTAGGGTTTAGGGTTTAGGGTTTAGCCATGGGGTTTAGGGCTTCGGGTTTAAGGTCGGTGTCCATGTCTTCTGGGCTTCAGGATAGCTATGGACTTTGGGCAGGAGGCTCGTGCATTCCCCCCCACCCCCCCCCCCCCCCCTCCGCCCTAAACCCTAAACCCTAAACCCCGCGAAAACACAGCATGACTGGCCTCCTCCTCCGGATAAAGGGCACAGAAGCCCACGAACTTCGCCAGGTTGATGTAGCGCAGGAGGTTGATCACATGGGTGGACCACTGGACCACCAGGAAGTTCCTTTTTGGGGCTTAGGGTTTGGGGTTTAGGGTTTAGGGGTTTAGGGTTTAGGGTTTAGGGTTTAGGGTTTAGGGTTTAGGGTTTAGGGTTTAGGGTTTAGGGTTTAGGGTTTAGGGTTTAGGGTTTAGGGTTTAGGGTTTAGGGTTTAGGGTTTGGGGTTTGGGGTTTGGGGGTTTAGGGCTTAGTAGAGTAGAGCAGTTCGCACGATGTAAAATTATGTGAATTATTTATGTCAAAAAATATTTATTTTTATAAAAAATCAAATAAAAGATAATGAACCATTAATTACATTTGCAAATAATAAAATTGATTCAAAATCCTTTGAGGTTTGGAAGGCTTCGTTGTGTAAGGGTGCGGAGGGTAGTTCTACAGGCATACCGCGAGAGAAGCTGCATTAGCTCCTAAGCTCACTAGAGATGGTGAACCCTAAACACTTTCGAAAACAGTGAGCTCTAAAGCTGTATCCTAAGCTCTGAACCCGAAGCCTTGAAACCTAAACTCGAAGCTCCACACTCTGCCACCATCATTCCCTACGCTCTGAAAGCCCAACCAAAACTCCGCGCACTAACCCCCCAAACCCTGTACCGCAAACGCTGGGAAAACCATCTGTGCAACAGGCCCCTAAACCCTAAACCCTAAACCCAAAACCCCAAAACCCCTAAACCCAAAACCCAAAACCCTGACCCCTAAACCCAAAACCCAAAACCCTAAACCCTAAACCCTAAACCCTAAACCCTAAACCTGAAGCCTCAAAGCCTCCAAGCCTCATCTTCTACTACCATAAGCCGAACTACGTCGGGAGTTTTTGGTGTGAGGATCCCTGAACCCAACAACTTCACTGTAGGGTTTAGGGTTTAGGGTTTAGGGTTTAGGGTTTAGGGTTTAGGGTTTAGGGTTTAGGGTTTAGGGTTTTAGGGTTTAGGGTTTAGGGTTTTGGGTTTTGGGTTTTGGGGTTTAGGGAACCCCAGCAAATTATAATTTGAGCACAGCTTCTCAGGAACTAGAGTACCCAACAATGAAAATTATTCCCAAGCATCACAAAAAGCAAAAGCAGGGTCAGAGAAGACGCGCGGACACGGTAACCATGCTGTCTCGGATTTAGGGTTTAAGGGGTTGAGGGTGCCCTCAACCCTAACACCCCAATCCCTAAAACAACCCTAGTCTCCAAAGTTTCTGGTGGCTAACCCTAAACCCCAGACCCTAAACCCTGAATCCTAAACCCGAAACCCTAAACCCGAAACCCTAAACCCTAAATCCTAAACCCTAAACCCGAAACCCTAAACCCTAAACTCGAAATCCTGGTGGCCAAGGAGCATGTAGAAGTGCGTGGCTTTCGGTAGCTCTGCAGCCAGGATGTGAGGGAAGGACAGAGGGTTCGACGCCACAGCCTTGCAGGACCCTAAACCCTAAACCCTGGGCCCTAAACCCTAAACCCTGGGCCCTAAACCCTAAACCCTAAACCCTAAACCCTAAACCCTAAACCCTACGCCGGTCAAGGGCTTACCTCGAGAAACGTATGTAGCCTTCAAGGAATGAAGCTATTATGCGAAGAGAGGCCGAAAACCCTAGATTCCCTAAACCGGTTACACGGTGAGTTCTTTATATTATCCCTGTTTGGGTACCCTAGATAAGAGGGGCCGCCTTCTAATAAGAACCAAAAAAAGACCAAAGTT